TACAGATTCTCAAACATACAAACGAGAATACCAAAAGCGGTGAAAATAACAGTCAGAAAAACTCACAAACGCGGCTACTGTTCAGGCCACAACATGGAGACCTTCACTACTCCAAATCAGATCTCCACCGTTCAGATCGTAGGTCCATGAGTTTCGAACAATCCCACCAAATTTCAGCCAAATCAAACCACAAATTTCCCTTGATCAAAGTAATTGATGAAGACTACCGCGAGATGTTTTCTTTTCCCGAACAACTACGAGTTGTTTCTGTTCGACCTCAAATAACCGGCGATTAAGAGCTCCGATCAAAGATCCGACCGTTTAGAATAAAGAACAATGATCATCCACTTACTGTCGAAATTTCTGCTCGATCGGACGGTGGATCAGAAAGTTCCGACTGTTTGATGAACTCTGCGCACTGAGAAATCTGCACAGTATTTCGATTTCTCTCTTTTTCGACAGTATTTCGATTGTTTGATGAACACTGAGAAAGTTCCGACGGTGGATCAGAATTTACATCTCCGACTGTTTGATGAACTCTGCACAGTATTTCGATTTCTCTCTTTTTCTCTCTCTTCAACACGCTATGCGCAAAAAAGATTTAACCCTAGTTTTTGTTTTTGCTTTTTGAAAAACAAAAAAAAAACAGTTGGCTAAAGGAGAGTGAACTATAATATGAGTCAATATCCCATAATGGGCTGGGCCCAACAGCAATAAAAGTGGACATGTGTAAAGCCTTTGACTTGTACCGCATGGGATGAAAGTTCTTGGCTGCTATATTGAGGAAAATGAATTCTCCCCTCCTCTGGTGTGACATGATTTAATAATGCATTGACCCGTACAACTCCTATCCCAAGCGGGGCAGGCCACTCTTGTTCAAATGTTCACACATGCCCTACCCACCTATAAAATGAGCACCCTTATCCTCCCTAAAGGACATACAGCTTGTGGAGATGTAAAGGGCATCCATATATTTCATATGGAGTCATAATAAGAAAACAAACATGGCCTCTCTCTCTTTCTCTCTCTCCTTGCTTGGGACAAGCTAACCAAATCTAATTAAACACTTAGGCTTGTTGAAATTAAGAGAAATGAATCTCACCCTCTTCTCAAAAAGAATTTGGGGACTTCTAGAAGATAGAAACTCATTGTGGGAAAGCATCTTTCGAGCCAAATACTTCGATGGTAGAAGTATCTGGCAAACCAAGTTTAATAGTGGAGCTTCTCACTGGTAGAATTAAGTTTCCAAACTCCTTCCCTCACCCAAACATAATATCCTATGGCTCATCAAAGATGTTGTATATGTCTTCGCTTTCCATGATCCCTGAATCCCGACGATTTTACAGGAAGAATCATTTAAACCCTAACATGACAGACAGATTGAGAATTAAGGATCTAGTGAACTCAAACGGGTCTTGGAACCAAGAGATGCTCAACTCCCTATTCGACAGCAACAAAGCAACACACGCCAACCAGACTCTAATAGACCAATGCTTAACCAGTGAAACCCTTCTCTAGCAATGGATCTTACACTGTTTTATTGGCCTACAAGTCCTTTTCTATAGTGACATTCCCTCCAACTCCACCATGAGATCGAGAAGAATCTAGAAGCTACCCGTCCCCCTATCGTGTGCAAGGAAATTTCTGTGGGAAGCCCTTCCTACCAAGTCCAAGCTTAATGCCAGAAAAATGAGAATGGAGATTCTTCCTTTGGACATGTCATATCATATGTTTTCCTAATTATAACCCAAATTAAACTTTTGTTGCGAGTTGCGACACTGGGTGGTCCCCACAGAGCATGCACGGCAACCGATCGATTCAAGCCAAATGGACAACAATGATGAAACCCCTAGATGCCCCCATGAGACGGACGGATAAAGTTCTACTGGACCCTAACCCGGTTCCATTTACTTCGTAACCCGGCATTTTGAAAAAAAAAAAAAAAAAACTGTTGAAAAGTCAATAAATCATCAACCTATCCATTTGAACCGGTGAACCATTCAACCCGGATAATGTATGGTTAATGGGCTAAGTATTAAAAAATGTTTAAATACAAATGAATACCAATAGAACTTAAGTGAAGAGAAAAATGGTTGTTCAAATTATATTTCTGTCCTTACAATTAGAGAATAAATAAATTTAAAAATTAGGATATTTTAATCATACAAAAGTTAGTTTCGCACTATCATTCACACTTTTAATAGTAGTATAGAATATTCTATACATTTTAGAGATAAGACTCATAATTCATCAAATTGTTAATTAATGTTGTTCATGAAAAAAGGAGGGTGTAGATATACTGTATGTAACAAAAACCATCGCTATATTAAAAAAAAGTGATCTATATATACAGAAGGATTAAATTAACCATTGCTATATATAACAAAAGCATCATTATATGTATTGAAAGTCTTATAATTTTTCATCTATATAGATATTGCAACAGTCTATACCAATAGAAATAATCGCCCCTAAAATGTAATGAAACCATGCATGGTTATAGAAATTAAAAACAATATAAATTTGCATTTTTATAAACTATTAAAACCATGATATAGTAATATTGACAGCCAATTTATTGCAAAATGCAAAACAAAACTGTTACTAAAATTCAAGGTTTTCAAAACCGGACTGGACAAGACAGTCAGACCATTTTACCTCAGGGTGATCGGTTCCGTTTTACCCCAGAACCATTATTTCATCAAGAACCATTGATTTGGTCAATAAATTGAGGACCCGGGCAGTCGAACCATCCAACGGTTTGACAGTTTTTTATTTTTTTTAAATTTGTTTATTTTTTTGTTAAAACGGGCTGTCTGTTCAGTTCAAACAATTGGAAACCAAACTAAAACATTACTAAAAAGTATACATTGAATCATTTGTACGTTTTTGCCTACTATGAATGGAAATAAAATCCATCGTTATAGATTGTACTCTTGATATCGCAAGCACATCTTTCTCTTTAACAAAACAAAAATATATATTACAGGTACACCTCTATCTACTTGTGCTTTAGAATAGACTTTGACAAGTCTATGCTCTTACACCTCCCTTTGGCCAATTTTCTGTACAGTTTTTTATACAAAACATCTTAATTAAGACTTCAGGGATTTCTTGACAAATTGAGAATGGGAATCAGACAACTTCTTTCCTTTAAATATTGGATTCTAACATCCTTTAACTAATAACCTTTTGTGGTTGTTTATAATCTAAAAAAGAAAAATAAACTCGACCAAATAATCGTCAAATATGCCAACGTGCAACATACCTAGTTCATTCCGATATTTTATGAAAAAAAAAGAAAGAAAAAGAGTTTAGATGGTCACTTTGTGCATGAAAAGAAGCAACACATACTGCCATGGAAAAAAAAAGAAAGAAAAAGAGTTTAGAAGACGCTCAATGGAAAGTTAGTCCAACTTAAGCGAGAGTATTAACATCATTCAACTTCTATTACCATAACCAACCACGTCAGTCATCACTCACCGGAAAGCTTATCTATTCTCTCCCCTCCTTTTATCACATTATTTTTTGGATAATATATGATGATACCTCAATCTCCTTCAGATATGCCAACGTGCAACACATGACACTATGGTTGAACTGTCGATCGGAAAACCAGTAGCTAGAACGATTTCATTTTTTGGTCCTTTTTTAATATCGTGCAACACATAATATGACCAAAATCTTACTAAGTGTGGTCTACTCTTGGCATCTCTTCCTTTTCCAAGGACTGATTAAAATAAGTAAGGTATATATGCTTCACTCTTTCCGATTAATGGTGAGATTTTCTCCATCTGAACCAAAAGGATAAAGAAGGTGGGGGTATGCATCAGATCATGCCAATACCATGCAGTAAAACGTAGCAATGCCTTCGTTGGTCCTAAAAAGAAGAGAAAGTGATATTTGGAAGACTGGCATATTTTGGTCGAAGAGAGGGAATCGTGGGCCTTTGTTGGGATTCCTATATAAGCCCAATCTTCCCCCTCCTAGGCCCAAGGGAGTAGCTGATCAGAGGTCTGTAATTCGAGTAATTTAACCAGGATGGCCCAAATCTGCCCATGTGCTAATTCGAGTTTCATTTACCTCTTTGGTGATGACATAGACATTGAAGAGGTCCACAAGACGCATGAATCAGGCAATGCCTTCAGTGATTATGAAGGAGTTGTTCGCATAATCACTGACATCCTCAAACCGGCCTTCGTTGTTTATCGCAAGGTGGGTTCTCTTTCTCTTTATTGTTTTTTTCATTCTTTATAGATTGATAGATAGATAGGTAGATAGATTTTATAAGAATGTATAACTGGGCTTAACTATAATGCAGGTTGTTGAAGAGAAAGGTCCAGAGAATGAAGTACCTGAGTCTTCCAAGGTAATAATACCTCAAGAAATAACAAAAATGGGGCTTCATATAAAATGAACACTTTCCTTCGATTTTAGTGCATGTCATAAAAGTTAAAACATGTTGTTTATATTATGTTAATTGTATTGTATTTTCATGGGAAAATCTATGATGCCAGAAATATATGATATCGAAAAAGCTTTGACCAATCAAAACACCCCCAATGAATTTTTATTAATACCACCTGATTGATCATGACCTCTTTAGTGATACCCGGAGTATGGCCCTAAGCTTTTCCCAGATATCATATCTTTCCGGTATCATAGTTGAACCCTATTTTTATCCTTTACTTGCACATGTACAGAGTATGTGCCATTACACTATAATTACCAAATGGGGCTTGATATATTTGGACTACGATTCTGCAGGATCCGTTGAAACTAGAGCTGCTTCAAATAATTCAGGAGATCTATTGGAAGGTATCCAATTATCCATTATCCAAATATATGATAAGACCATGATTAATTTTGTAAAAAAGGAATTAGAACTACTGCACTGYTGTTTAAGCCAACTCTTTCCCTTCCATATTAAAGATAGAAGTTTAATTAATGCTAGATATATCATCATTATCATCATCATCTTCATCTCCAAGCCTCATTCCGTGTAGGGGTGGCAACGAGCCGAGCTTTTCACGAGCTGCTCGAGCTCGGTTTGGCTCAGTTTCAGCCGAGCTCGATCCCAATTCAGTGGCTCGATTATTAAGCGAGTCAAGCTCGAGCCTATTAGAGCTCGGCTTGTGAAGTTCGCGAGCTGGCTCGAATATATATATATATATATATATATATTATATATATAATAATAATAATATTATTATTATTATAATTATTAATTTTAAATATAAAATAAAAAAAATTTATATGTAATTTTTATTTTTATAAAATATATAACAAAATATTTTTATAAAATATAAAATGAGCCGAGTCGAGCCGAGCTCGAGCTTATGAACTCTTGACTCGAGCCTAGTACTATTCGGCTTGGCTCGGCTCGAATCCACCCCTAATTCCRTGGAATTGGCTATAGGAATCCCGTTTCATCATTTCATTATATTTAATGTCATATGCATTGTTAATGTATTAGCACTTAAATAATTTTTTTTACTACTTACACCCATTATTTTTGCTCATGTCTACCCCTTCTAACTGCTTCAACTTGCAATARATCATTTCTTCTTAAGGGTGCTGTTAATGGTCTTCCATGCACATGACCGTACCACTTTCGTCAACTTTCTTTTCCTTTAATTTTTAATTTTTAATGAATATTTTATTACAAAAATACCATATATATCAATCAATTTTCTATCATTTTATCACTTATTAGAGCTACTCCTAAATTCTTATAAATGGCAAATACCTGAAATATTGTGTGAATAGAAATAGTAATTGCACTAATTAATTAATAGAACTTCTGAGATCATCAACAATTTAGCTTAATTAGTTATATATATATATATATATATATATATATATATGTATGTTTTATTTTGTACCTTATTATCAACTCTATTGTGGTGGAAGTAAATTATTTATAAATGGGGCAGATGTTATGCACGTGTTATTGTGAGGGCAAACCGCGTCTAGGTGTTGATGGAGATGAAAAAGAATGCATAAAATACATGTTTGGTTTAGTGAAAAAATACCCGTATGATGCAAAGCTGCTTCTGGTGCTGGCTGCATTTGCCCTGATCTATCGTGAATACTTGTGGTCTACCCAAGACGACACTTCCCAAGTAGACTCCTATCGTAACCTCAAACAACGCATTTTCTGCAAAGGGAAGCTCTCAGAAGAAGAGAAGGAGCATCTTAAGAGTCTAAATTCTCTAGTAACCAAAATGCTGCATCTCACAAAACCAATTATCAGTCTCACCAGCTATACAAACATTGAATACCAAAGCTTGTATGTTAGGATCGTTGCTTACCACATGATTCGAGCTGTAGTCGTCTGCTTCTCTTCCACCATGAAATTGATAAAAGTGAAGTATGTCTCTCTCTCTCTCTCTCTCTCTCTCTCTCTCTGTGTGTTCGCTTCTATCTATTTAATTCACAAAATTATTTTCTTGTTACAGGTATACGTATTCATCAGAAGAGATGAAGCTGAAGACAAAACAACTGATAAAGCGACTAGACGAATTAAAGCATGCGGAGAAATTCTTAAATGACTTGAAAGAACAAGCAGGTTTGATAGCTCTCCCTATCCAGAATTGTTTTTTAATAAACTCATTTATAGATTCATTTCCCCTCCAGCAACAATAAAGTTTGGGGTTAATAAAAGGGGCAATCTGCCCACAATTCTGGATAGAGAGTGGGTGATAATAGTGTATGAGAAGTCCAGACCGCAATTAGTTAAGATCTAACAGAAGTTGTTTGGGACYTCTTGCAGACTGTTCTAACTTTGCAATGGACTGCTTTGTAAAACCTAGTCATACAGATGTTGTTGATTTAATCAAGAAGTTGTTCATCAAGCCARCTGAAGGAGCWGGACTCAAGCGGGATGGGAAGGTAGGATGCTACTGACAGACGACAAGCATTAATTATTTCAGGCCAATGCAAAGCAAAGAACTAACGTGCTTAAATTAATGCATGACTTTT